GACCTGACACCTAACAATGATCACACAACACAAACAAAAAGGCACCACTGTTCCTTACAAGAACATATATCACAAAATAATCTAATTTGCACAAACACGTGTGCATATACACGTACAACTAATGATGAAAGCACAAGCTACCAGCAATGTCCGCATGATAGTGACATGCATGTGTACATGTGCATGTATGTAACTACAAGTGCAAAGACCAAAAATGGTATGCTCATTGCCCTTATTAAACAAAGTAATATTTAAAATAAAAATGATTTTATTTAGGTAAAAAGAAAGTCTATTACCCTGCTTGGCATGAGAATTGAAAAATTGACTGTGCACCATAAGTTCATTCAGCATAAGTTCATTCTGTGAATATTTTCGAATACTAATAGCATGTATTTGTTTTTAAAAGTCGATAAATCGGGGCATGATTTTCAAGAGGATTAACAAGAAATAGGATACAAGAAAACACGGATGCCGACATCAATGGACCTTTCTGAAGTATGCATACTGTACATGTATGTATGTATGTGCACTGCCATAATAGGCAAATGTACTGATGACATCACATTTTGGTTACGTGAGCACTTTCCTTGCCAGTTGGGCCCACGGTCCCACAGGAAAGCACACACATAAACAAAGTGGGGCATCATCAGCACAGTGTCGCAGCACAATCAAGTATTATGAGCAGAAGAAAACTGCGAGCGTGTGCAATAATCTGCCATCAATTGTTGGCTCAATGCCTGCGATTGCAATATCAACAAAAATCAATATTAAGCGATCGCAATATACATGTACACAAACCACTTCTTTCAAGTTATAAATGGAACAAGTGACAGTCAGCTGGAGATGATTTCCCTCCCAGATTTGAATACTTGTCTGTATACATATTCAACTATGACGTGCCCAGACAGTTTATGGCCTGACAGCGCCTACAGGATGCCATCTGTATCGGTTCACAGTTCAACTTGCTATTATGTGTAGGTCCTGCACTGCACACAAAAACTGTCAAATCAGCATGACCGCAGTTTGTGGTTTCCACCATAGACTGATAGCAACTGTCCTCAAAAATGCATATTGTTAACTTTTATATCGCTTCTGGTAAGCAGAGGGCTTGATTTTTGGATGAAAGTGGATGAAAAGTTGTGTCCAAATTTATGTCAGGGAAATCAGAAATGTGGGCTTTACAACAATTCACAAAGTATTCTTACAAAACCCTGCTGCAATGAGGTGGTATTTATAATTATGCATGTGTTGGCAGCAGCACTCGATTTTCTGTGTTATAAATGCCCTATGATGTATTTCGATTACAATGAATGCACATGTGTGTACAATGGAAGTTCCATTCTCAGAGTGTTCAAATTTGAATTAACATGTCCTTCAAAGCTTCTGATCAAAAAAAGTGTAAATACAATGTTTCCAGGAAACTACTTTCCAGTCGGTCTTTTTTAGCTGCGCTGAAAATACGTTTGCAAATCTGAATGCTTTTTGCCATCAAAGCGTCATCACTTCATACCGTGAAATATTATACAAATAGAGCATGGTTTGAGGGAAGTAGTGGGAATCACTGATCCCGAGGTGTAGGTCAGTTTGACTACCGTACCTCCCGAGGTGAAGTGGAGGGAGGTAGTCAAACTGACCTACACCGAGGAACCAGTAATTTCCACAATTTTCTCGAAATAAGCCATGCTGTACTTGCTTTACTACACCTCATAAATATTCAAACAGAAATCTCACGTTACTTGTACTCACAGACACCATTGTTGTTTCTTAGCTGCTAAATTTCCATGTAATGATAGTGGAGTGCAGATGTGCATGGAAACAGGGCTTCATAATCTGGTGCTGACATACATTTTGGGTCTTTTCTATAATAGTTATTAGGATACCAGACTGGTTCCATAAAGATTACATGACACAGACTACATATTTACGCGGCGGGTTCTAGGGAAACACATACATGTACATCTCCACAGAAATGAAACATACAGCATATGAAGCAAAAGGCTGTACAATAGACAGTCCATTGAAGCATTTACCCTCTTCCAACTGAAAACAAAATGTAACAAATCACCTATGAGTACAGAATATATACATGTACGTACATATGTACATGTAAGTGGTCTGTTAATGGGATTGTTTGTGTGTTTTTTTACATATCACAAGAATGCATTGAGCACACCTGTAAGTAGATGCTTTCAGAAACGACCATATACTGTAAGTACAAACTACACGTACTGGCATAATTAAAAGAACTGTTTAATTATTGCGCTTATCTGTACCCGTCGAACTGCATTTTTTTTTCAAAGATGTAATTCAGTTTCAGGAAATGCTGTTATTCTGTTTCAGCCAAGAAACTGAGGGTATTTTGCATTGCAAAAAAATCAATTTGGACTTTATCAATATGTGTGTCATGTAATAAATAAAGAATGATGAAGTGCAAGTGGCCTAATAAAGTTTAATTTAATTTTTTTTTAATTTGCATAATGCATAAAAATTACGTAATTCTTAAAAATAATAACTTATCATAGCTTACTGACTATAATCCTGAAATTCAGAAACAATGCCATGCATTATGATAGTAATGCATCCTGGGCAAAATCCTCACAACGAAGGTCGATTAGAACTAAACATATACATGTAAGCTTTTCAAAGCCTATTCCAGCCGATAATAAGTATAATGATTACCAGAGAGTACTGAAAACTATCTACCAAAGCAATTATCAGCCAAGACGACAGTATCAGTCCTCTGACTCTCCAAATGACCCAGACCTACATGTATAGTACAAGAACAAGTATGAACCATTTGGCAATACAGAATTTAAAAATATCATTGTACTGTTGTCGTTGTGACATTGCCTAATGTAATAACCTAATGTAATTTTAGCCAGGGCAGAATATTTTTCTTTTGATAACACCTTGGCGATAGTTACAGCTATTTAGCCAGGTTGCAGTCTACTCCTACATGTATATCCCAAATCTGGAGCACTGGAAATAGGAACCAGACAAGTCCATAACCAATGGATCTGGGACTTAGGCCCTTTTCCAATACTCGACTTGGGCTCCGTCTCAGGCTTCGTTTCCAAAACCAATCCCCGATTGTGGGCCTGAAACGTTTAAATTGGATTACTGTAATTTCTGGCTCTCTTGCATCTTATTTGATGTTTTGTGGCACTATTCAACTAATTACTGTGCTTACAGCTTCAACGTCAGTTAGTTAAAAAACAGTTGAAGCCTGAGACAGAGCCGAAGTTGAGTATTGGAAAACGGCCTTAATATCTCGGATCTCTCTTTAACACAAATTCTCCAGGGGTATGAATCTACTTAAAAAGGCCAAAAAACGCACAGTGGAATGTAAACATAGGATTTGATTGAAAATTTGATTATGTACAGGAAAGAAAAATGGAAAAACAAGTTCAAATATTTTACAATCATCACAGGGCTCAAACCCTGGTCCAAATCACAGCACCTCGATGGCTTCATGGAAATCCCAAACCTTATACATATTGGCAATGCTATCAAATTTAATGTTGTGCTATTGCTTCCATAACTACACGTATAACCACTACATCTTACTTATCTGCCCTTTTAATGTCAGCTGGTTTCTTGCTAGTTTTTCAGAGGTTTCGGGGCCCTAAGAAAAATTGAAATTTTTTGTACATCTATCCAATCTCTACCAAACTAGCATGACTAACTGACTAAGGCTAACCTATGTAGATAGAAATAGCCAGCAATAGAGGCTCACGACATGGGGAAATTCACCATGTAGAGCGTGAACACATGCAATAAAACCCTACATTTGGAACTTTTCTGGCATGTTGCACAGTGCTGATGTTGCACTTGCCAGTCCAAAAACACTGAATGTACCCTTCCCGTTAATGTATCAAGTTGATATTCAATATGGATTAAACAGTCATGAAAAAAAGCAAATGATCCACTAATGGAGTATATATACAGGTAGTTCAGCAGAACCACAAATAGCAGCACTTTCTGGGCAACTCGGGCCTTGGAGTATGAACTATTGGATGTGATCAATCAATCGGCAGGATCACATTGTGCTTTCTGTCGATCCTCTTAGGAAATTTCTGACTTTACTTCCCTTTCTTCTGAAACAATCTTCCAAATTTGTGAATTCCATGTAGAAAGAAAAGCCGATTGAATGATGGCAGAATTATCCACAATCATCCAACGTGTACCGCTCTTCAATCTGTCATGCCTGCACAAAATCAAGTCCTAGATATTTACAAAGTAACAAACAGAACACGCTCTGACCATTCCAACTCTCAGATTTAAACTGTTACCAATGGCACTGGATGATCAGACTGCTTGCCCTTCGTACATGGTTACCAGCCTCACTGCACTGGTAACCCAGAGTTGGTCATGCTGGTACGAGTAGATATATTCATGCAGCCTATTTGTTTGAATCATCAATGGGACAGAATGGTCAGGGCCATGTTGTTGCTTACATCGTACAGGACCTACATGATTGTTTGGAGGCTTGACAAACAGGACTGTTAACACGCCTGAGGCGCTCAAAAAATGCCACTTTTTTCTGGTTCAGTTCATTTAGATTTACATCCAAGTGGATCATTTCCTTCAACATGTTCACGATCAAATGATCTATCCACCATATCCACTGAACTGCTGAGTGTGAGCCTGATATTTGGACAGGTAGGGAATGTATTAAGTGACAGTGATATTGTATAAGTCTGACAAGATGCCACAAAAGAGGCAAACCACCATGACTTTGCAAGACCTCAGGTCAGTGCAAGGTGAAAACAAATGCATTTTACATTGCTTTGCATGGCCAAGGCGCGTTCACCACGTTCACAATGGGTAGTTTTCACCACGCTGGCCGGAAGTCATGCACAATTCGTATCCTCCTATGGCACTGTGAGTACGATGATGGCATGAATCCCATCATCAGATCAGGATCACAAAAGTAATCACTATCAGACTATCATGTCTATGAAATGAGGTCGACGATGGACTACGGCCGGGTAACTCACCTTAACTTTTGTTGCACGTCGAGAAAATGTTCAGCTTTCCTCAAACTACTCACAAAACGTAGCTCGGTGCATTCAGAGGCATGTATAGCCAGTGAAGATTTTTCTTTCACCTTAATACAGTGAATATTTGGGAACGAGGAAGAGAAAAATCCTTCGAAAATTGGACCGCTCGTCCAGCCCTCAAATAGTACAAACAGATGGGCCCGAGCGATGACGAATTTTTACATGTTTGCTAAGGGAAATGGCAGAAGTTAGCAAAATTAATGGCGTGAAACTTGATGCCTTGACCTCCTCGGTCAAATCCTTCGATAACCTTCAAAAACAGGCATTGGATTTTCTAGAGATTGCCAACAATTTTAAGTTCGAAACCCTATTCACTGAAGACACTGCACATCGCCATACTGGTTTCTGAAGCCGTCATAGCGAGGCTCGTTAACATAATAAATAAGTTCGACGAGTTAACTTTAACCTTTCAACTTGTGAACTTTTTCATCTTCGTAAGATTGCGTGTTGCGTACATGACATGTACATGTACATGTACATGTACATGGAGGACCTACATGTACATGTACATCCATTCCTTCCTGTGGTTCATTTGTTCCTATTTCCGTCAATTTTGTTGAGGTGTCCACGGTTTGGTGAAACTGTAACCACTTCCAGTAAATCACTTCTGGCTTAACTGCTAGCAAGTCTAACTTACGCTCTAGGCCCCATTGCATGCACTGTCAGCCTGAGCGCCAGGCGACACGTGAACAATGACCCACGGCCGGATCAGTTGCGGGAATTTGCGACTGCGCGTGGCGGATGTTGCTTTTCTTATTGGAGGAATACAAAAAAATCCTCAATGCTCTGACTATTCTGACATACCCTAACCCTGCTGGAGTTACATGTATTAAACAGTATGCCTGCTATATACAATACACGATTATTAAAGTCAGTGGTAGCCTATATTAAAAGTACACATATGTACATGCGCGAATATAATTTTGGCTTCCACTTTCGTACAACTGTTAATTAAAAAAGCATAACTCGGGCGTTCACTGTTTAATTTCCCCCTCCGTTTAATGCGGAGTTGACTTGAGAACTGCCGTTGCCCAAAATTTGTCGATATTAATAAACCACTAACGTTGTTACGCCTAAACTATGGTGTCTGTCCGAAAACTATAGCATGGACGAAAGATATGGACGTAAATACCGGGAGGATAGGGTTATAATATCCCCCACACACACCGGTGAGCAAAAGAATATTATGGCGGATTGTGAAGAATTTCGACTTCGAACGATTAAAATGCATTCAATATCACTAAAAAAGGGAAAAACAGTTTTTAAAAGCCACAGCCAATATGGCACTTTGAATACATATTACACATGCACCTCTTTATCATGGAACACTGACCTAGAGTCATATGGTGTCACCCCCCCCCTTTCAAATTTTCATGGTCGGGCAAGTCCCTCTCCCCCCTTTTCCCATCCCCATCTCCCCTTCCCAAATTTTCGGCACAAATTTACACCACTGACGGAATGACACCACCCCGACTACTAATTACAGAATACGCGTCACAAGTAGTGGTATGAGAAGTTGTAAAGCTACCTGCACGGCACCAATTATCACTTTCATTCCTTTTGATTTACATCATATGGAAAAGTAGCCGTCTGACGGTCAAGGCGCGCGCGGTTACACGTGACGCGCCCCGGAAATGGGTACAAGCAAAACCGGTGCAAGTAGTGGTGAGTATCAGCATCCCAGGCACGTCACGCATACGTCCCGGTACGCGGTGTTCGTCCGAACTAAAAGCTAGGAACCGGCAAATGTTTGCGGAACCGGGCAAACTACCAACCACCAAAAAAGTTCACTACCATTCGTCTTTCAATTGACAGCCGAAAATTGTTAAGTATTACACATAGCTGGATAATTTCCTGATATCTCCGAATGAAAACCTTTAATTCCTGAAGAGAAGTTTTCTAGGCGCCAGGGATATGGTGTTCTACATGTGCCATCCGGCGTTGCATTTTTCAGCCGGCGTCGCATTTTTCGACGGGCGTCGCATTTTTCAGCCGGCGTCGCATGTATCAACGGGCGTCGCATTTTTCGATGAAAAATTTTAACTTTGACCTCCACACAGCCCATTTGAAGCCAGTTATCGGACGGAGAGAACTCCCGCCTTTGTGTTGGTCATTGTTTAATCGAAATCTCAGAAATTCTTTACAGACTTCTAGGGGGATGTGTTAGGTAACAATAGTCTGGAGTGTGTATACGGATTAGACAGGTAACGGGGGTACCCCTGCGTCCCATACCAATCCACATGCAGTCCCCAAGACCTTGGGAAGTCATTTCGTTGAGTGATAAACACAAGCCCCCCTCCAAATGAAGAGAGATGAATGATCTCAAGCCCATGACCAGACGGCCTCCACCGGGGGAATGCCTGAACCACGGACTATTGCCTGAACAACTTCCAAAGTGTGAAATACCTTTCTTCTACTGTAATGAAAAAATAAGATCAGTCTTGGCTTCCTCTGGACAAATATTAATGGTTCAAAAAGTGTTTTCGGAAAATTTTTCGTGATTTTGTATTGCTGACAACTTCTTTCAACCAAGAAAAAGTAAAATTTCTCTTAGTTATGGTGTGTGACATTTCTTCCGTCGCCAAGAGTAGTTACATTTTAAATTATAGACCGTACTGCGATAAACGCTCCCTCGGGAAGCATGTCTGCAAGATGGCAAATACCACACCAACCAGAGTGAACAATAGGCCTACTATACTGGGTTTGATTTTTGTAGCAACTAGTAATCATCAGTACGGGGACATTTTTCACTCAAAAAGCTTGCAGAAGTGAGAAACCAAATTGAGCGAGGTGAACTTCCACGAGTAATCGGGTTCATTAAAGGGCTGTTAATTTATTTACATACAGTTAATCGACGCATACATGCTAATTTAGCCGTTTCCATAATCATTAAAAATATGTACGCACACTTTTAGCATCCAAGTCAACAACTTCAGGTCCGGCTGGGCCAAGGTAGACCATTGATGATTAATGGCATATTCACATTGAAAGGCGACGCCGGTTGAAAAATGCGACGCTGGTTGAAAAATGCGATGCCGGTTGAAAAATGCGACGCCCGTCGAAAAATGCGAATGGCACATATGGAACACCATACAGGGACCTTGTAGTGGAAAAAAATTGCGTCTGAGTGCTGAGGTCAAACTAGCCCTTTATGGAGCATTCTATTTTCCTGAGATACGTCCGTGGGTAGTCTGATTCCCTGCCCAAAGATTCCCTGACAACTCTTGATAAAAGTAAACCTTAGGTCAGGTATCACCCAAAGATATAAATAGATATGACGCAAGGGTCCGGAGTCTTAAGTTGAGAGCCCGGGTGTTTTCGATTTTATCAGTGGCAACATCTCAAAATCGAAGCTTTTCCCATATCCAGTGGGAAATACTGCAAGTGTACCCCCATTGAGAGCATGTTTCAGCCACAAAGCCTGCATTGGTCGAAGAAAGCTATATTCTGCAATTCGCCTGGCATTTCGGCCAAGGCGACCTTCGATTTCAGTTCATAAAGTCAAATATTGTAGGCCATTAACAACTGCCCTGCAGGATACGGGAGCTTACGTTCAACAGCTATAGCCTACCTACCAAGGCCGAAAAGTAACCGAACATCAACGATACCATCCGAACATGCCGAATATAGACGGGCAACTTCGGAATTTTTGGCTATTTCTGGTAAACTCGGAGAATTCCTCCAATCTGGTTCACGTGCACCTCGTTCCCGGATCCCATGGTCTAGCTGGCTGGCACGGTCTCGTACTTTGCTCTGATTGGGCCATCACAATCCTGTATTAGCATATTCTCCATATTCATATTTGTTGAGACAAATCTTTTCGTGCAGTTGGCGTTCTGATTTTACAAGGTGTATTTCTAATTTAAAGTTACTTTGCACACGAAATTTCATTTCAAATGGCAAAATACCAAAAAAGGAAAACATGCCAATTAATGTGTAATACTTCGAAAGTGTACTGCAGCAGTGCATGTCATTTTCAGCAGCTGGCCCATGTACATGTATGTAAAACGAAACAACCATCTTGCAAATCGTAGTTTTTAATCCAAGTACATCGTCTAGTACCCTAGACCACACAGTGTGATCTGTACAATATTCAAATTAACAATAAAAAGACTAGACTATTAAACCCAGAACACATCGCCCACAGTGCAGCTACTTATAATATCAAAGATTTTGGGATATGCAAATGATCCAATACCAGGGGAGAGAGCGGCTAGCGGTAGCGTACTGCGCGATCACCAGGGGACGAGATTGAAACCTTGTCTGGATACCAGACCCGATGATCGGGCATCACCCAATGTCCATGTGACCAAGACTAGAGGAATTCCTCCAGTTTTCCCTTGCGTCATATCTATTTATATCCGTGGGCGATACCTGGCCTAAGATATTTTATCAAGAGTCGTCTGGGAATTTTTGGACAGAGAACCAGACTAAATGGACTCTTGGCCGTGTCCGAAACGGGTTTTCAGAGCTACGGCTAGGTCTATTGTCTACGCATCTCCACGCATTTCCAATGGAGCGAAGACCTAGACCTACAGTAGCTCTAGACAAGAGATTCGGATGCAGCCACGGCTTGATTCGTAGAGTAGTCAGAATCATAGAGTAATCAGAATCATTGGGTCTGGTATCCAGACTAGTCCGTGGGTGGGGCTAGGCAGCGTTGCCACTGTTGAAAAATTTTTCAAGATCTTGAAAAATCGCAACTCTTCTTGAAAACTTGAAAAAAAATCTGAAAAATCCAGAAATCTTAAAAAATTCAAACATCAGATGAAAATACATTTCATTCAGAGATTTAACTATGTCTATATCGTGTGTATGAGGTTACTGGTTTTGTTTTAAATTATTGGTCTTAAAACACGTCTGGATGCAATACTTAAAGTCACATTCTGTGTGTAAGCATAGCCTAGGCACGTAACTCACGTCTTGTTCCAAGCACGAGCTTATGATTACTAGGCAATGTGTGTAGTATCCAGGTCATGACGCGTTCAAACCTATACTGTCCAGTACAGTACGCGTCAATCAGCGCAAAATAATGCCATCAGTTTTCTGTACTGCTTGCTGCCTAATTTTTCTGCGTGAACAGAAAAAAAAAGTATAGGCCTACATGTACACGTGTATTTTTTACGTTTACAAAGGGTTGTGTAATAATTTACATAGGCTTGAAAAATATTTCAGATCCTGATCTGGAAAAAAAATTGTCCAGTGGCAACAGTGGATCTAGGGATAACAGAATGTTGCATGACCCCAAGGAGCACCGAGGGAGGCTAGTTTTACTACACCTATTCCACAGATTCAGCTTAATTTAAGTGATAACTGATTAATTTGATGTAAATGCATATCAGAGGTACGTTTATCGGAATAAGAAATGCGTTGAAAATTTGCCAGCGTACATCTTCACGAAATGTCTGAGCCCAGGTCTGCAGCGTTCGTACTTCGGACTATGCGTAATGATGCGCACACGAGGGCCGTTTTCCAATATTCAACTTTGTCTCCGTTTCAGACTTAGTCTCCCAAACCAATTATAATTTGTATTGTGTGAACAAAACTAACCCATTCTAGCGCCCTCTAAAGCTACATATAGTACATGTCAACGGGGCAGATTTCTGTATCTTCCCTATCATGCCCATCATGCCCAAGAGCATCACTGTATTTTCTCCCCTTTTCCCCACCTTTTTTTCTCTTTGACAGTAAGTCACCAAGAGGCACGGCTTAACTAGATCCTTAAGGCGTAGGAAGAGCGCCACTCTTTAATAAGGGGTCCTATGTGACGTGTCATTGTCTTATCCCCAAGTTTTCGTTAAAACGGCGAAGATAGACATAGAAGAAGAGACTGGGAGCCAATTTTGAAATGTAAATTTTGACTTAAATTCCCATTGGAGTTGTTGGAAAGAGGGTACAAAGCCAAAAGTTTACATGGTGCTCAAGTCACGGCAACCAGTGCTTCACCATCAAGCCCTTGTCCTCTCACGAAGTGACATCGCGCGGACAGTCTATTCATCCCCACTTCAAACCTCTCATACAATGGGCTGCCAAGTGTGGGGCGGGAATATCTCCCTTCAAGTTAGTTGGCAGGTGTTTGCCTCAAAATGTACATATACTTTATTTGTATACTTATAGTAGTATAGTAGAAATCTCTATTTAATGTTTTGATAGTTGCGTTCGAGTTTTAAAACTGTGGATTGTATTAAAAAATATTTGAAAGCGTCTCTGGGGCTATTTGTTTATCATTAATGCTTATGTTACAAAAGGAATAGGCCAAGCAGCATCCCGATCGTATTAGCAAACCCCAACCCCATCGCAGGGCCGAAACCACCAGATTTTCGAGCGGGCAGTAACACTTGATGTATTAAACCTTTGTGCTCTTTTCAGAGGGATTACACGCTTTTTGAGAGAAAATCGTCTTTCATTGAACTGCATAAAAATGCTATGGGGTACACCCCCACTTACCAGTGTCCTAACTCGCTTCCCGAATGATCCGCGGTCGGCAGTTTGGGAAATGGAATATCACCATTATCCATAGAATCGAAATCCCGCTGGACTAGAACTAGACCAGAATATGACCTTGAGGTTTTGGGGCAACCAAACTTGAAACTCACCTCGTGTCGCCGGCGGGATCGTTTTATACTTCGGACGGATCATCCCAGTCACAGAAGCTGCTCAAGCCCACCAATTCGAGGCCTGGGCCAATGTCATCGAACATCAACACCCCCACCCCCCCAAAAAAGGCAAATTTGCAAGGCAACATTTTCTGTGAGAAACTATCAAAGCAAAATACGCCTTGAAACTGAATTGGTGGTAAAAAATAAGCATAAGTTCGGTTGTTCAAAATGGTTCCTCGCTAATCTATATACAGCCAAACCTCGTTAATAAGAGCACTGAATACAAAATACCTCTTATAACGAGGAAATATTTAGGTCCCAATCCTTTGTTTTTCATTGTTTTCATTCCCGATAATACAAGGTTCCTATTACAACAAGGTAATCTAAAGTCCAATGACCTCTTGTTAACGAGGTTCGGCTGTAGAGTGTATCTCTTCCACATGCCGTCGCACAGACGGGTTATGAAGTTGTTTTTATATACTAGTGTGCACACGTGAGACGCGTTGTGCGCGACCGACGCCGACTTTGAGGCATTAGACTGTCGGTAAATTTTGTCCAATGAAAAACTCTAAGCGGTTAGAGACCACTAACGCCGTAAGATACATGGGAAGGTGGGTACGAGCAAAAATCCGTCACGATGGATACTTAAGAGCGCCCTCTGCTTTACATGAAGGGAGTGCTGGCAGGTAAAAACAGCTAAGAAAAAAATACAAATAAACAACATTTGAAAAGTCAATATCGCCGATATTCTCGTCATGTTGCTGGATCCTCTAAAAAAAATTACAATTTCAGGGTTAAAATGTACATTTTGAAAGAATGGGTAGCTTTAAACTTCCCAAAGAGACCAAAATAGTGGAGGTGAAATCACCCAGTAAAATGAATGGAAAAGGCAGGACATTGCATGAAACACAGGGAACAAAATAATTAACTGTCCTTCCTCCGATAAGCTCAATAATACCTTTAGATAATTATCTATCCAAAATGGTGAGAAAGAAAAAATCACTTCACTAGCAAGGGGTTGAGGGAACGGAACTACATGTATGTCTTTGAAATAACCTCTGGAGAAATGGTAAAAATGTAAGTGCCAACTTGACAAAATCAACAAAAATGCAGTTTATTTGTGATGAATTTTATTATTAATGAGATTCACTAAAACAATTCTACATCAGATAGAGGATGTCTCACTGCAAGGGTATACATACATACAGTAAACAGTAACTGACACACTGGCAATATGCTATACAACAAGCTGGTGAACAACTCTTTTCGAGTCACTCCATTTTAGCCACTGGCTAATTTCATACATATCCTTGGGCAGGTCGACTTGCCCAATTGTACAGAACTACCGTTTCCAGCTACGCAGTCATACAATATGTACAAACCTTTGGCTGGTTGGCTGCAAAAGTATCAGGCTTTACATGACCCCGATTTGACAAAGCAGATGTATGAAACTGGCAACCATTTGAGGAAGATGTCACACGAAGCATTAAAAATTGTACTAATAAACACAGAGGACATCAAGTAAAAAAAAAATCAAAGGCAATTTGACTTCTTAGATGAGAGAGAAAAACCAAACAGGTATGTAGGCTAAAAATTCACTGCTGACACATTTGTTATTACAAAAGGAAATTTGGTATTCTCTAGGGAAATTCAAAAACAAAGTCCTTTCCCCGTTTAAACGGTTCCAACTGTTTCCTGTCAAATGAACAGAAAATGTATCCACAGACTTTGAATGTCGGTTGCATTCCGTTCAACTGGTTTCAGTTCAGACATGTTTTGATGAGAATATCATTAAAGCTTAAAATATATGTACATGTAATTGTATCTAACTAGGTTAAAGTAGATTTTTAGTTATGAACGTGTGAAAACATAGGTATCAGCTACACTGCTCTGTAATACTAAATGTGTTGATCAAGTGATTAAAATAAGATCAAACTCAAAGGAGCAAAACAATTCCTGTTCAGCTTTAGTTATCATTTAAAAACTCTCAAATGTACCTACATCATGGAACTAAATATCTCTGTGTGACCGAAATTCAGGGAAACCCTGGCATGTAACATATCTAACAAACTTAATTTTTTTCCTTGACTTAGTTGTAAAATAATAATAAAGATTTTTTTTTGGCGGCAGACATACCATAACTAAGATTGGAAGTTGTGGACACATTCAAGGACAATTTAATCATGTGTAAGGCTTTGCAGGCAATGTCACGAGTGGCCACAGCTGTTAACTGTCACTTTTACCTCAGGTACCCCAGCAACTGAATACAGGTTACTGTACAATTGATAGTTTTACTGAAAAAAAAAAGAAGTGGACATTGCCAATCGTGGTTGTGAATAAAACCTACATCTAAATCACTTTAACTGCGAACAGAAAAAAAGAGAAAACCAAACGAGACAAGCGTTTTCATGCCTCAATTGTACAGATTAAAAAAAAACACAGCTAATGTACAGCGGTTCAATAATATGACAAAATACAGTAACTGTAGACCATGATTTACTTTAAAAAATGTATCTAAAATTCCAATGCTCCACGATTCTTTTGGGACGTCATGTTTCTTCCATCTAACAATATTTTAAAAATACACAGTCTGATTGTTATCTCCAGAGCACAGGCTAGGTTGTCTATGACATATTTAAGCACAAGGAATTACAAAATATAACATTTTTTACATTATTTTAGTTGCTAAGAGACCGCTGTTTTGACACCAGAGACAGAGCATGATGGGAAGGGCCAGCTCTTTCCAGTTCCAATATCACATGTTGACTGCTTTGTAAATTGCTGATATGTCTTTCTCTCCCAGACCCAAATTCTTCGCTCTTTTGAAAAGCTGTGTTGAATTAACAACAAAACAAATAACCTGAGAACTTCCTGGCACGGCAAAAAAATTTCAACTGCAAGAAGATTACAAAAATTTAAAACACGTAAAACAAAGACTGCACAAATTTAAACACCACACCGAACTGCCTTAACCACTTCCTGTCGGGCAACCCGTTTTCGAGTACATAGGCTTTATATGCAGAGCCAGGGAGCTGGGAACTGGGACAAAAGAGTTGGACCTTATAACAAAAGACTGAGCTGCTGAGCATTACCGACATTTTTTCGCTCTCAATAGTGGAGATCATCCAGCATTGTTTTGTAACAGTATACCAGGATTGAGGCATTTAGAGCGAGCGGATTACCACTGGGGACAAAAGCCCTCCACCACCACAGCGATGAGCCACACAGCACTGCTGCATGCTAATCTGGCCCCTATTGAAAAGAGGTCAGCGGTGCACTGTGACGGTTTCGGGAACAAAAGAATCTTACATAACAACGCACAATCTGGGCTCTTTTCCCAAGGCTGCAGGCCTGGCTGAAATATTCAGTAGTCAATGAAGGTTACCTGTCAGCTTTAGAGTAGGTCCAATGAGTCCTTCATGTGGGTATAAACGGCCATTAAATGAAATGATGAATTTTTGAAGAATTTTGAAAAGAGGAAATCTTGTCTTGCTCCAGAAAAATCCACCCGGCAGCAAGTGGTTAATATGGTTGGCTCAACAGCGCTGCTTTGCATCCAATAACTGGCAAACCAAAATCCTGTTGGATTCCACTTAAGGTAATAACATACACAGCCAAACAGTTTGGTGAAATTTTTTACCAATGTGGAAATTTTAACCGTGCCCTCCAACTTTTTGAGTCCTATGTAGCAACATACACATAAAATGTCTCTTGGACAAATCAAGCAAACAAATCAGAGGAAAAAAGAAAGAAAATGGCCAACAAATAATGGCAGACTTAAAAGAAAAACATAATGATAGACAGTCACTTGGGAAGGAAGAAATCAAAATCCTCCCAAACTACGAAATGCACACAAATAGACAGGCATGAAGACAGACAGACAGACAGACAGACAGACGGACGGACGGACGGACGGACACGGACAGACAGACAGACAGACAGACAGACAGACAGACAGACAGGCATACAGACAGACAGACAGACAGACAGACAGACAGACAGGTCAACTCCCAATCTAGTGGACCTACCTCATTGACAGCTGCGGAGACAGGTACTGGTTGCTCCACCTGATCAGCCAGGGCCAAGGCCAATCTCATGTCCTTCTGCTGGTACTTAAGTGGAAATGCTGGGGGGTACTTGTTAGCCAGAATAGCTGACAACAAACAAGCAAAAGAGAGACAAACTGTCATCTGGAGATGAAGTTATAGAATAACTTCTTGAATAATAAATGGTCAGTTGAAACTGTTGGGGGTGCCAGTTACATGCACAATCTTTGAAAAGGCACTTTTGTGTTTTCAGTTAACTGTATTTTGTATTTTGTTTTGCTATTTCAACAAGTAATTTGGTGCCATTTTGATTTTTACACTAACGCAAATTTCTACATTCATGAGCAAACCTGTCATGTCATACCAAGGACAGATCGGTAATATTATATGGATTTGTGCACAAAACACTGCTGGGAATCTTTTATATTTTGGTGCTGTAAATTTTGGTTTCTGTGGTGAGATATTGTTGTGTATTAAAGTAAATAGCAATAAGCCAATGAGCAACCTTTTCTTAGAAATTTTTTCAAAGAGAAAGTTTCTGGGTTCAAAACCTGAAGATAAAAACATGTGAACCATAAAGTGTCTTCCTGATTTAAATCAAAGCAACAGTGCTCCCACTTGTCCAGAAAAACTAGGACAATTTTTGGTATGTAAAAAGTATGCATTATAAGATACTTAAACCCCCCCCCAAAAAAATTCCCTTCCAACATTGAATAGGAGTATAAAAATGCACAAAAAAATTGTGTCTTGAAAGAATTCATCGAATGGACTCATTTACTTCAAGATCAGGAACAAGATTAAGAAGTCAATGCTCTTATTTCGATACCCTGCACGATACTCGATGAAACCACAGACGAAGACAGTCAGCCCACAGCAAACTGAGACTTAATGATTGAGCATACCGTGGTCCAGTGGCTCTGATGTGTGGTTCTCCTACAATGGTATGTGGGTTCAAATTCTGTAGTAACATGTACCAGGATGCTTTTGTTCCTTAGGCTAGATGCGTTAATACAACTGCCCTCTCTCTACCCAGGAGTTCAAATGAGTGCCTGTGTAGATTGATAATAGGCTATGCTGATCTTGAGCTGCTGAAGAAAACTGATCTCGTGGCCCAGTGACCAGGGGTAACAATTGTAAACCGTACTCAGACCCCTGCAGGGATATAAAGTGCTCCACAAATGTCCCCAATGATATCACTTTGCCCACCTTTCCCCTTGCCACTGATGAGGGGGCTTGATATAGAGCCCAGGTTCAGCACATCCAGCAGCGTCTCCTGGCTGAGGCCGGCCCTGTCAGCCACCGCCATGCCCTCGGCAAAGCCGCTCATGATGCACCCCATGACCATGTTGATGATGATCTTCATCTTGGAGCCGTTTCCCACATCCCCTGTGGGAGAACAATTTATGCAGGAGTGAGCTTTTGCTTGCAGTAAAAAAATGTTGGAGGTAAACCAGTCTGGCAGCTCAAAGGATATTTTCACTTTACCCTGATTCATTGAGCATTCATGTTAAACACTTTCCTCAACACAGAAGCCAATATGACATATGCCTTTGGTTAACATGTGAGCAGTATCAAGCCTTGTGTAGAGAAACAGTGATTGTGCTCTACATTCCTAAATCTTCAAAATCCTATGGACCATAATGACAGATCTTCAAGGATCTGGAAGCATGCAAGGGTTAATTCTCAAACTGAATAAATTCACCCCTGCTGTTACTGTACATGTAACATCTCTGGGCTACAATCTTAATGCTTCTCAAAATGTCAATGAATTACATGTGTATTGTTTTTTTCTTGATTTAATCTAAAATCACAAGCCATATAGTGTCCGACAGTAAAACAAGAATAGAAAAGTAAAGAAATATCCCACAGAATTTCTAACCATGAAAGGTCAAAAGACATTCAGCTAGTCTACCACAATGGCTTCAAATTCAGAAGCATGCCAAGCTTAAAAGACGAGAGCATTTTTAATGAATGCAATAAAATACAACACATTTTCAGGGTGCAAAGGTCGGGATCTCACCGAGAAAGCAAGCCTTCTTGCCCATTGCCTGGAAGCAAGAGCTGCAGTCATCAAACAGCGTCCTGTCACCCGCTCCAATGATTACTAACGAGCCCTCCATAGCTGGCTGTACGCTGCCGACGACTGGAGCTTCCAGAAACCTACCTTCCCTAGCAGTGATAGCCTGGGGAAAAGAAAAAGTATTAGTAAAAGAAAAAAAATCACACCAGGTTGTAATCATTGTTTGTTATGTACCAAGTTGACTACTATCATAAGCATCCCAAAATATCAATAGCATTAGGGACAATTAGAGGTATGAGGTACATGTCGGTACAAGGCTTAGTAAAACTACATGGTCACATGTACTCAACCTGTTTCCAGTGCCGACTTCAAGAAACCTACATATGGCAGCACACTGATTTTGACATGAAATGCACTTTGCTTGTAGTTTGTCAAATGAAGCGTCACACAAAATGGTGTTTTTTTTTAACAAGGAACTTTTCCCAACCTGCATATATGACCTGCACACGGACCATTTCTGACAGTCCATGGTAAACTCCAACACAGAGGCAAATCCCTGCCAATGAGACACACTTACCCCTTCCAAGCCTGTGACTGTTCCAATGTCAACAGTTGACATGTCCACCAAAGCCTTGCCTTTTTTCATGCCGTCCAAAACTCCATGCTCACCAAAAACAATCTGTGTTTGCAAAAAAAAAATACTACTGTGATCAATATGCCTGTTTTTCAGAGACAATAAATTCTGAAAGTCAATCATTCTAAAAACTTATCCTACAATTCATTACAATATGTAATTCTGATGGCAAGCGAAGTATATCACTTTGTATTTCATAAAAATACCTGCATAAATGTTGTTTACATTCTTCCCTTACAGTCGTGAGTTGAACTGGCACATTATTTAAAAGTGCAGGATTTTGTCACACTTTCGATTACATTCTTTACTCTGTTCTTTTGCTTTAATACACGTAGAATTTCTGTAAATTAGTTTAATGTCAATGGAATGGGTTCCCACTCTAAAAGCAAGTCAAATGCCACATTGAGCATACACTTAATTACAATTTCTTTACAAAATGAATATGATGCAAGCTCATTAAATGTAACGAGAAACACTTACGGCTCTGAGTGCTTCTGAATCTGACACCATCGAGAAAACAATGTCACACGTCGACACAAGTTCAGAGACGCTCTTGGCTTCCATTGCGCCAGCTGTCACAAAATCTGCACACTGTTGAAGAAAACAGAACCACAGAGATTGGATCGACGCCGTATGAAAGTGGGAAAAAGTGGCAGTTATTGACACATTTAACCCTCCTTTTGTTGTAACAGTCACAGACAGTCAAAATTCCTTCCAATAAGCCACTTGAGAGTTAAATTTGAATAAAATCTGGTACACTGAGTTCTTTAAATTCACGCGAACATAACAACTTGAATTCTCCATACTGAAACCACTGTTATACCTCGTGATTCGGGGCAAGCTTTTGCTTAGTTACATAAGAGACTCCTTGCAATACACTGTTCTCAATGGAGAAGAACGTCACAAAGGAACCAGTCCATTCCAGAGATGGTGGTCGCTATTCAAAGGCTTGCCCCAAATCACGAGGTACAGCAACAGTGTCTTTAGTCTGGGGAATTCAAATTGTTATGTTTATGTGCAATCAGATAACAGAGTGTACCAGATTTTATTCAAATTTAACACGCAAGTGGCTTATTCTCCCTCTACAGTACAAAGACAAATAATATGTCACTTGACTGATTTTGACTGATAGGACAACTGTGCCAAGAATGTAGGAAGGTTTATTAAACAACCGTGATGCAGAGTGGTGAGTAAAAGACACAGCAAGGCAACACTTCTAACAGAGTGGAGAACAGGGAAGAGCTAAATATAAGGCATGTTCTTCATAAAATGGGCCAAAATGCAACTCTGGATGTCATTTTTCAAAACTTCTTAAAGAGTCACTTTGATCATGTAAATTACAATTTAGCACCTTCAGATTTATAAAAATGACTATATTGGGATAATTAGGCATGATATGTACTTATGCCGAACATCTGGTTGGCTACCAGTGCGAATCAAATGGAGTTGAATTCATTTAAAGTGTTTACACCAGAGGACTTGATTTCAAAACTTCTCTCAACAAGAAGGAGAATTCAGTATATTTTTCGACTGATGTATTTTAAAGCAACTACAATATATGAGCCATGAAAAAAAGAGCACAAAATTGACGGAAAATGATGAGAAACGTTTGGCTCTCTTCATTCTCTTACCGTTTATAATCACTCTCACAATACCCACATATATATATCATAACTTATATAAAACTTATATCTTTCGACCGCCAAAAATTTCTTTAAGTTTGGCTGCATCAAAACTGTATGGGAGTACAATATGTTTGTTGCGAACGTCATATTTGACAAAATTTTGATGACGTTTGAGAATTTTGACAGAAACTGCATGACATTCGAGAATGCCGAAAATGCTGTCACATGTAGTGCTCAAAAATTCCATGTGCGATTTTCATTTTGCCAGTTATTTTGGAGATAACTCCACTGAAAATAAAATTAAAATTAACAACTCTGAGCATTAGATTTTCATCAGGAATTGTATTTTTTGCAAACGTCATTCAGAATGACGGATTTTTTTTGGAGAAAAATTGTTTCGAAGAGAAAAAGCGCGGAGCGTTGCCATTCCGTGGAGGGGCTCATGATTATCGAATAAAAAAGAGGGTTGTTGTTAAAGATCAAACAGGCCACAATGCAGCAAAATGTTTCTCTAACGTCACCGCGAGAGATTGATGGACGCCGCAAAATCGGAATGATTGGTATTTCGGACTGCAGTTTTTTTGGAACATACTTGAAGAAAATGTGATCGGTCAAGCTGTAAAAGGATGATGGTTTGGCGGTGCTTTTTTCACTCTTTTTTAAAGCTTGTGTTGTACATCAATATATGGATTTTACTCTATTTTTTGCAGTCCATTTTTTGGACACTAATGACAGAATTGAATGACGTTCGTGACTACTGACTTCGGGACCTGATTAATTGTGAGAGGTACTTTTTAATTTCGTGAATTTATGGTTTTAATATGTGTAAATATTATCACCTTTCACCACAAATAAATCTGTGTAAAATAACCTCAGGGATTATCACTCCTCAGTAAATTCTATTGGCTTGGATTTTAACAGGGAGTTCATGTCTGTCAAAAATGCTGACGTTCAAGACTTTAATTAATCAACTCCAATTAAGTTGAAAGGTTGACACGGTCATCATTGTTCCAGATATCAGCCATGACTTCCCTCATTACATCAAACATTCGAAATGAATTCACTGCTGTTCACTTCAGGAAAAATGAACCCCCAAAGTTGAACATTATCTAATGGTCCATATTTTGAGGAACCTGCCATAATCAGAAAATTAACAAAAGTCTGGCTCTGAATACAGTAGCTTGATGCAGATTACAACCAATATCCACACTGCATCGGATGTGAAGCTAGATGAACATTCAAATTACCTCAAGAGAGCTTTCAGTGGCAATACTGAAGTTACAATTGGTTTGGGGGGGGCATGTCTATGACTGTAGCAATTTCAGTACGATCACTGGACCTACATGTCACCTCAGGACTCTTTTAACATGAAAAACTTTAGTTGCTATTGGAGTGCTTGAACACGGCACAAAACAAAATTGATATAGCGCCCTCAAGGTCTTCAACACTACTTGTGAGGCAACCTCCAATCTGAAAAAGATTGTTTTCACATGGTTTTATGACATTTTACATAATAATGTTCCTAAATTTCTGTTTCTCCTGCTTCAGTGTGACATCATCCATGACATCCACACCATTAATATCTAGGGTCACTTCAAGATGTACTTTGCATCAGGGAGATGTTAATTTTAATTACAGGTTTTGCCCTTACTCAACACATACATGTAAACATTGTGAACTCAGTGATTGTCCAAGAGCTTATGAAAAAATTCACGAGCTCATTCAGGTGGGACTCGAACCAATGACCTCCTTATTTACAAGAGCCGATGTCTCTAGCACTAGTAAGCAGGACGTGGGTTCCAGTCCACCCGAGTAGGCTTGTGAATTTTTTTCGCAAGCTCTCAGACAAGCACTAAGTATACTGTGTTTATAAATATAAAACCCGTAATTACAATATCTGGAGTGTTTAATTTACAAGTGTGGCTATCTGCATTAATACAGCTTTAATACATGGAGGTGGACAACGCCAACTTCTGACAGAAACGACAGCAATGAGAGGGTGAGCAACTTTGATTATGTACATGTAACTGCACTATTGGAGAGCTACATGTATCTTGTGAAAAGCGGATGATAAACTCATTCACCTGAACATTAACCTCTGCCAGCAGTCACTTCCTAAGCAACTTAGCCAGGACTCATACCCGCCCTTATAATTTGATCGAGGGAGGAAGGACTAGACAACATATGGTTCCTTCTATGAAGGTGACCGACCTTTGCGATATTTATGTAGCAGTACAGCTGTGGATGAAATATGGTATGACGATGGGACATCTTGTTCAACTGGGTAAACACTTAAAGTGTTTCCACAACAAAAATACTACAGTTACTCTTCTGGCTGTTAACAAAATTTTAAAAAAAGGAAAAAGTGAATTAAATCGGATGATATAAATGTCACAATATTTGACATATTTTTTTACAGGATGGATTTCTTAAAAAAACACCACCTGATAGGATTTCAATTTTCCTGGTAAAAACTACAAGTGGTTCATCAGGGTCAAGGTTATTTATTAAAAGGACAACAGATAACAAAATATCAATTAAAAGTGACCAAACAAAGTGACAAAATTTTGAGTTAATGTTTCATTAATATTTGAATTTTCCAAAACAGCTACAGTCATTTGTAAAAGTTTAGGATCACCCATACAACATGCATCAAGAAAAACCAAACATACCTGAAGAAAAACCAAACTTAAACCCATCAATCATGGCAACTCATGTTTATTTTCAATGAGCAACCTCAGTACTTTGGTTAAACAGCTGCATTCCCATGATTTGAAATGTTAACAGTCTGATATTTAGTGTGCCCTCCTTTATTTCTGATTACTTAGACTGTTTTTTTACCTGCCTTTGCGAACAATTTTATTCAAATGAGTGTCTGGCACTGTTATGCACCACTATAAAAACGTACCAAGTAATCATTCAATGAGACAATGTAACGGAGGCCCAGCGACAGAAATACCAATAAAATTCCAGTGCAGTAATTGGGGCCCCAACAATGTCAATATCAATTCATTAAATCTTAGTTATTACTACCCCTAGAAATGTATCAAATAGCTTCAAATATTTCCCAACTTCATGAAAACGCGGAAAATAAAAACCAGACTAAAACCTTTAAACCAAACCCCAAAAAACATATGGAAATATGACAGCATATATCTATGCATGCTTAAAAGCAATTAGAAAATGTGCTGTAGCAACTGCCGTGCATAAACAGGTGGCATGTTTATCGTGATCAAATTTCCTCTGACATCAACCATACTTGTAGTAGGTCACGCATTAAAATGCTATATTTAGAACAAGCACACATGATACGACATTCTTCTAATAAGCATGGCTCATTGCTCGACATCGTGTAGGCCTCCTGCTTATCATGTACATGTACATATATATCCATGTACAGGTCTGTATCTTGGAACAAAGATATGACAATGAACTGATCAACCATGTAATCAATGCCTAGAAAGTTTATCTACGTGTAGAACTATGCACCGACTTCGTTCATATTCCTTTTTGGCGACAGGGAGGGGGGGACATTTAGCCCTATTCCCTTTATCTTATTTTCCAATCACATGCCCCACTTCCCACCAGTACATTCAATTCAACCTCCAGCAGGACCAACGTTTTGGGACAACTGACCTATTTTAAAGCCTGTGACGCATTTAATCAACCAACCTGCCCACTTTGCCTCTTGCCTTATTTGGGGGTACAGAGGGTCTGAGGACCAAAGGCCCCAGCTCTACACTGCCCTATCAATGCATGTTTGGAAGCCTCCTTTTGGTGTGTGTGCCTGGGAGTTTCCATTGTGAGGCCCATCATAAAAGTGAGTGATAAAGTGCTTTGTCAATAGATGTGCCTTATTTAGGTCCAAGTTGTGTTTAAAGTTGTGTTTGGTGTGGTCCCTGAGTGAACCAATATTAACTGACATATCATTTTGCAGGGGTGTGAGTGGCCACTTGAAATTAAAGC